ATGCCAGATTGTCTTTCCTTACATGGAACAAGAGCATTGAAAAAGCTTAGTCTCTTAATCACTTTTTAACATGTAACATGTCTCAGTTTGAAGATTCTGCTTAAATTCTTGAAGAATATTTTTTTCATGGATGAGGTTGAGCCTTCATTATTTTTGTAGTTGTATAACAAATAACTACATTATTTTCCTGACTTGAAAACTCATCTCTTGAATAGATAAGTTTTTTTTTCTTCAAACAGTGAACAGGAGCAGCTTTGATCCTTGCTATTGAGACATCTTTTATTAATGAAGCAAAGTTTGAATTATACAATATGCAACAACAACAAAAAAATGACAATAGAAGGCAGACCATACTGGTGGAGTCATCCAGCTGTTGAAATATGATTTGAAAAAAAAAAAAAGGTCTCTTGTGTTAGGATAAAGACAACAGTAATTTGTTTTTGTGCTAGTCACAAATAACACAGAAGGTAAGCATTGATATGATTTACCCTGTTGTGTGTTTTATTAGAGTTGGAGTAAAACATAGTTATTAGCAACTTCCACCATCTTTTGTAATAGATTTGCATTTTAACAGGGCACAGTACTTGGAAAGTCAGGGGTGAGCTCCGTAGAAGTAACTTTGGCATTGCTGTTTCACACAAGCAAATGAGGACTGACAACCACTAAGTGCAATCCAGGCTTTCTGAAGAAAAATATAGGCCATGGTAAACACAAAAATACATTCCAGCCTGCAGGGCCTAATAAAAAAATAAGCCTCTTGAGAGGCAAAATCATTGTGCACCACCACAGTACGGTTGCCATCAGCTCTCCTGGCAGTGCTGGAGCCGCTGGATTCAGTTTTGATCTCCTGATTTGCCTCCGTGTGTCTCGAATCAAGCTGCATTTTTCCTAGGTGCTTTCAGGGAAACCTGATCTGCCCTATAATCTTGCTTAGCTCCTGGGCATTAGAGTATCAGCACTGTGCATAATTCAAGCAGGGTTATGCAGCTCTCTTCTAACATACAGGGACAAGGGGACAGATTACAGTAATTTCTCCTGATTGGCAAATGAAAGGCAAGGGAGATGCAGTTTTGTTAAATTGCTCCCAAGGCAGTCAGTAGCTGCTGTAGGGAGCAGTCCTGTTTTCCCTTCCTTCGTGCTTCATGTTCCTACCTACCCTTTTGTTTTTCAGAGTTAGAGAAGATATGACTGCACAATTGGGCCAGCCAGCAAAATTCCCCAGAGTTGTGTAATTCAGAGATTTTTGTTTTCCCTAAGGAATAGAGCTGGTGGCAGGTAAAATCTTCCATTTAATTTAATACAAAAAGCTTTTTCCTTGCATCTCAGTATAAGAAGCAAATGTGGACATGTTTCTTGGTTAAGCAGAATATTTATTAGCAAATTGTATGAGTTTAAATATATTCAAATAAATAACTCCCACAATATATTAAAATATATTTAAACATAGATTAAATATCTTTCTTGTTCTAGGAGTTGAATGTTGATTATATTTATATCGCAAATTACATCTGTCATGTAATGACATGGAGTGCTGCCATGGATGGCTACAAGCTCTTCAGAAGGGATAGGCAAGGTAGGAGAGGTGGCTCTATATGTTAGAGAGTCTCTTGACTGTAGAACTTAAAGTCAGTAATGATAAGGTTGAGTGCCTGTGGATCAGAATCGTTTGTCTTCCCAGTCTGAAATCTCTACTAGAGAGCTTCTTGAAAGTAGATCAGTTCTAACTAATCTTTCGAAGCACATCTGCACATTTCTATTCCCAGCTGCAGACTGGATAAAATAAAGATTGAATAGCATTGAAAACCTGTAAAACTGGATCTCACAAATCAATCACACTAAGATTTATTTTTTTTTTTACTGTGCACTTTCTTTTACCTTCAAGTATCTAGGGGCTTAGCTGTGGTTTGAAAGCCTTTAGCATTTTTTCAAATGCTAGTTAAGAAATTGTATGGGAGGTATTGAATTTTCTTAGTTGTTTGCCACAGCACCTGTAATTTATCATGATTATTCTTCAGTATCAATTAACAATCCATGCAAAATTGCTATATGTGTTCAGGAATGGATTTAGAACTGCTGCAAAGCCTTATTCATAACTTTATGTTAACACTCTTGGTAATGTGGCAGTCATTTTTTAGTACATAACCCTTATCTTTGTTTTATTCATGATAATAATGATGTCTGAGCAAATGTCAGATGGAAGAGATCTCTTAAAGTCAGATTCCAGATTTAATGTTTACCCTGCAATCTCCAGCATAGTTAAAGCAAACAGTTTCTGTAGTGTTTGAAATTGCAAATGTTAAAGTTACTCAGCTGCAGTTTTGTCATCTGTAACACACTGTGATGCACAAACCATAACTGCAGGCAACACTTAACTGGTTTTATTTAGCTTGGACTTTATCATAAATACTAATTCATTGAAGTGGAAACTGAGGTAATATATCTTGAATTCTATTTACCTTTCTGTCTGGTGCAAGACATGCCTTTATTTAGCAATGTGCTCTTTTCCCCTCCCTACATCCCCTGAAATTAGACTCTTGCCATAATTGTTCCAAGGAGAAGTTTTGTAAATAATACAGGCCCTTAAAGTTGAATTGAGAGCTCTACTGGTAAGGCAGATGGAGTCAAGAATGTAAAAATGCAAGCTGGGAAGCTGCACTGGCCTGTCTCTCTCCTAGTCTCATAGTCAAGAAACTCAGAATAAGACAGCTGAGACTGTAAAATGTGTGATTGTAATTCATAACTTCCACCTAGACCAGCCTGATCTATCTGCTTCTACAGCTCAGCCACAACATTGTAGATAGGATTTACCATTTTCTGGAATACTACACCACCCTCCATTTTTTGGAATGCTTAGCTGCACATCCCTGGAGGAGTGCTTCACCATGCCATCATGAACATGGGCTGAGAGAGCTGGGGATGTTCAACCAGGACGAGAAGCAGGGGAGACCTTATAGCACCTTCCAGTACCTAAGGGGGCTACAGGAGAGCTGGAGAGGGACTTTAACAATGACATGTAGTGACAGGACAAGGAGTAATGGCTTCACACTGAAAGAGGGCAGCTTTAGACAGTATTAGGAAGAAATTCTTTACTGTGAGGGTGGTGAGACACTGGCACAGGTTGCTCAGAGAAGTTGTGGGTTCCCCATCCCTGGAAGTGTTCAAGGCCAGGTTGGATGGGGCTTTGAGCAACCTGGGATAGTGGAAGGTGTCCCTGCCCATGGCAGAGGGCTGGAACTAGTTGATCTTTAAGGTCCCTTCCAACACAAACCATTCTAGGACTCTTCATTCACTAGCTGAAAAATAATAAAAATAATATAAAATAGCTGTTGGGCTTGAGGAAAGGCAACAGATGAAACAGAATGTGTTCCTTCTGCTAGGTTTTATTTCAACCTGAGATGCTACTCCAGATGGTAAGGAAGAACATCCTGGCACAGCCTGACTTCCGTGGCATAGCTGGCAGTGTCAGGCTCTTTGCAGAAAGACATGCACTCCCTTCTTGGAGTCAGGAGGATTTGGCACTTCGTGTGATTCTGCATTAAAAGGGGAATTCCACTGTACCAACTTGCAGGTTCTCCACAGTGCACAGGTAAGAACTTAGCATGATTTTGTATCTCCCTTTGTAAAGGCTCTGCTATATTAATGAGGGTTAAAAAAAGTGCATTTCATCCAGTAGAACTCCTTAAAGGAAAAACAAACCTCTCGTGAAAAGATTTCTAACTGAATTCGAGGCAAGTACTTCAGGGAGTAGCATATTAAAACAGTGTTATATCAAAAAGCACCTGCTTAGGTAGGTGAAGACACTTGTGTCAGCTTTTGTATCACACACCATGTAGAAGCTACATACAGTGAGTGTTTCTAAGATCAAGAGTAAACACTCTTTAGCTCTTAAAAGCATCTGATGAGCTGGGGGACTGTGCTTTTGACTTCTATACTTTGTCTTTAAATCAAGATGCACTAATTTGTGCTCCTTATCACATAATGCCATGACTTTTACAGCAGTCAGCAGGGATGAGTCTGTTTCTGTACAGCAGCTGAAGAAAATGTCAAGTAGAAAGACATGCACTGCTCTCCTGATACAAATTAGCTTATCACGTAAATGGGGAAATAGACAACTCTGACCCTATTATAGCAGAATGTAAGATAGTGGATTAACACTCCAGACTTCTAATTAATCACAGTGTGTCTCATCCTCCTGATTGCAGCTGAGTAGGCCATTCTTCTACATTAAACCCACAGCTGCCCAGTATTAACACTTATCTGTCAGTACAGCCCCTTGTGCAGCTGTTGGCCAAGGTGACAATGTTACAATCCTGCATGGTTGAAAAATAGGTTTCAGAAATATTCAGACACATCCTTACATGTGAACTATACCTTTATTGTGTGAATAGTTAAAAAAAAAAACATTAATCTTAAATTCTAAGAAGTGAATAACACTCTGCTCTGCTTATGCTATTTTCTCATGCAGGTAAAAGTACAGAGCAGTACTGATCGTGGTTCTTCTATAACATGCACAAAGTATTTTATACAAACTACAGTATCGTCAATTTTTACAGGTTTACTAAAATGGGAATTCCAAAATGTGTCATGTACATACCAAACTTATTTAAGATCACACAGATTAATCTGATACCACTTCTGAGGTAAACTTATATATCACTGAACTGCTAAAACAAGAAGAACCATATTTAACTACTTATTTTTATTCCAACTTCCAAGACCACGTTTTAAGAGGAATTCTGCAAAGGAATTGAAGCCATTGAGTAAACAGACACTATGCTGACCCCAGAAAATATATCTGTAATAGGATCTCTCTTCTCAGTTTTAAGGCATGTGAAACCAAACTATTCTCACCATCAAAAGCCAAACTAAGAATTTCTCTCCACAGAAAGACACGGTATGTTATTTTCAAAAAGAACTATCTTAAGGCAATGTGCCATTACTACAGGCTGCACACAAACCACAGCTATCCTCCCCTGTTTTGTTTTCTAAAATCTGACAGAAATCTCAGTGGTGGAACAAAAGGTGTGTACTAGTACATATTCAGACAAAAGGACGAGATAGAAATTTAATCTAAAATCTACAGACTCTAAACAAACTCTGTATAATACGCTTTTATTATTTGTAACAGGCATTCCCTTTTTCATTTCACACTACAGAGAAACAGCAACGGACTGATTCTTCAGTTATCTGTAAAACTGTGGAAAAATAAAAAAACTGAAAGCTAACTGAATTTATTACATAGCATTACTGGACTTTCAATCCCCAGGTACATCAGTAGGGATGGTAACGAGGTCCTGGGTTGTAGGAGTTGTAGCCGTATTGTCCGTAGTGGGATGAGCCGTATTGTCCTTGTCTGTGCTGCTGGTAGTTATTACCCCAACCTCTTTCTGGCCTCTGATTAGATCTGTAGTCACCTTGCCAGTTGTACCTGTCCCCTCTGAAATATCTGCCATCTTGAAACCTGCAATGAAAAGAAATATAGAGTTTTGACATAAATTGTGAAGTTTTAAAGAGATGAACGATAATGAACTCTTATATTTTACAGTTTTCATTAAAACCGTCATGTAAATGGTAATACACTCAAATACTTATCTATGACAAATTCATGAAAACACATCTACATTCATCTGAGATCAGTCATGAATTTCTTACTTAATACCCTGTTTGCTAAGGACAGTCTGTTTCCTAATACAAAGTACTCACAAGCATTAGGTGAACTGCTGCAAGTTTGAACAGAGACTCAGACCATATATGTAAAATCAACCAGGAGGTCCATCTGTAGATGTATCAAAGCCACGTTCCATCCAGTACCTTCATGGTTGAAAGCTTTACCAAAGCAGGCTTAAGTACAACAAGCACAGAGATCTGCACATTCCCTAAGATACGTGCGACCGCTAAAACACCACCACCACAGTCTCCTGCAGATTTCCATACTCAAGACACTGTACCTTCTCAGTGGTACTTAGCCCTTGTTCAGTCTAAATTTTGGCTTTTCAACTGTATCTCAATTCCTATCAACACTTGAGCTGGCCCACAGTTGTTTTGTTTGCAAATGGTGTGATGTACACAAACGTTTGCATAAGGACAACTTTATGGCCACAGTGTAGATGTAAGAGTTCAAAGAGCCACAGAGTTTTCTAAGAATATTTCCTTAAACAATCACCTTTTTCTAGTCACCTTCTTTTTAACATAATCTGATTCTGTGTTTAACTTAATTAGAAGCTTCTAAGGTGAGAAAAAGTTAAAATGTTGTCCTCCTTTTCTTCAGATAAGGCACAAATCCTATTTAGATATTGAGCTAAGAAGTCTTCCCAATTGTTAGATGGGCTGAATTTAACTACTTTATATTAAAGGCTGGTGTTAATATTACCACATGTACTATATGCTGTAATTGTTGTTTTTCAGTCGCTCACACGTCAGATGTAACTGTGCAAAATTCAATAAAAAGCTGTGATTACATCCTGAATAAATAATTCAAAGTATTTTGCTTTGGCAGGTAACATTGTACTTGCTAGACAGATTGGATGATCGATTTTACAGTTGTTTTTACTAGATAAAAGAATCACAGGCTAATCTTACAAAGTACAGCAAATATTTAGGTTATAAATTAAATGTTTATCTGTTGCTAGCTGTCCAGAATTCACACTATTAGCTTGTTCCTTTGCACATTTTACTTCCAGTTATCATCCAAGAGAAGATAGTCTGCTTAGTTTTGCAGAACTCCCATCTTTCTCCTCTGGAAAAATGTTCCTGGCTGAGCAGTAACAAACCCCAGGGCAATGGGTTCAGTGGTTCCAGTTCATTCTTTACTGAAAATCAAATTATTTAGTACTTTAATACACAATGCAAAAATTTTGTCTATCAAAATATAAAACCTCAATACTTTTCAGAGAAGATTATTTCTCTTAAGCATAGTTGCCCGTGAAGTAACAAGATGCTTCTATTAACAGGACAGATTCCTAGATTTCTTCTGAAATAAATAATCATTTAACTATATACTCGTGAAACTACCAAGATTTTAAAAAAAAAATCAGTACCGATCTCTGTTTCTCTGGTTGCCACCAGATCTGTTTCTCCATTCTTCAACTATGGGAGGGGGGTCTGCAGGACGTTTCAGGTATTCTTGGTATTCTTTATCTTCTGATGTGAATCGATGAGCAAACATTGTTTCATAATTCGGGGGCATGTCAGCCAAGGAAGTCATTCTGAAAACTTTAAATGTGAACACGACAGAAGTGGCTTTAGCAATGTATGATGACTCTCATTGTAATAGCTACCAAAATCCACTTAATGAAAACAAAGGACAAAAAAGTTACATTTAGATTAACGCAGCTGCTGATTTTTGGGCAAACACCAGATATGATTCATAGAAAAAAGTATTTCTTCAGAACACACTCCACAACCACTCCTAATCCACTTTTGACAGGAAAAACATTACTACAATCAGCTTGAAAAGTTTGCTAAGGTAAGGTATCGTGGAAAGCCTACAAATACACATAGAAGGTTAGCAAAATAATTAGGTTTGCAATAATTTATGTCTAAATAACTTGATTCAGGGAAAGGACAGCACCTAAGAGGATGTGAAATTACCTCATAATATGCCTCTCTAATGCAATTTGTGTTTAAGGCCTTAGTTTCCCTATTTTTATATATGTGCATTTGCTCTTCGGACATTGGTGCTATCTGGTACTGGCCATCAGAAGAAATCTGGCCCTAATAGCAGACACACAGTGAGCTCTACGCCCACTGTTTTAACGACCCCAGGTAATTTAGAGTATTTAAAGCCTTTGCCTGTAGATTTCCTGATTAAGCTCTTCTGCTGTCTCCCAAAGATTTGCTGGCAGGACCGCTATTCACTTTGCAAACTGGGAGGAAAGGAAAGAAGGAAGGAAGGAAGGATGAAACTCTTTTCTCCTAGACCCCAGGAGGTAAAATATGTACCCTCACTGACCAAGCCCCGTTTTGGACTTCTTTCCACTGTACCCATGAGCAGCTCGAGTATAAGGTAAGTGAGGGGTTTACAGGGAATCAGCACCGCACTCCTGCGGACCGAACTGCCCTCTCGCCAGGACAGTGCAGGGGCTGCTGCCTCCAGACCCGTCTGCAGCCCCCCCTCCGCCAATGACGCAGCGCACACCTCCCTGCACCAGGTGTAGGAGTTATTCCTGCAGGATGCCCAGTGACTTCATCCTCTCTTCTGCCATGAGCTAACCTCGTTAGTTTTTATTACAAGTCATCTCCAAGGAATTTCGCTCCTCGAGTCTATCCCGGCTCGGGGTGCGGGGGTAGCGCTGCCCTGCGGACCCCCCGCTGCAGCTCCTCCCGAGCAGCGGGCGCTGCTCCCCGCACGGTTCGCGCTGTTGACATCACACCCATCCCGCGGGGGCCGGTAACGGGGACACCCGTCACCGTCCTCCCCCTCAGGCCAAGCACCGAGCAACGGAGCGGACTGGCTCCCTCAGGGGGGCTCCCGCCGGAGCCCCTTCCCCTCATCGGCAGCGCCGGGCAGAGCTGAGGGGCAGTGAGTGCGGCTGCCGCCCCTCCTTCCTCGTCCCCCACGGCCGCCCCCGCCATCACCCCCTCACCGCGCCAGCCGCCGGAGCCGCTCACAGATCCCGCCTCTTCCGGGCCGGGCCCCGCCGCTTCCCCCGGCCGGGCCCCGCCGTGCCCGGGGATGGGACGGGCCAGTCCGCCGAGTGAGGGTTTGGTACGAAGCGCGTTGGCGTAAATAGCGTTGAGGTTTCTGCGGCTCTTCTCTTCGCTGCCACGCAACGTTTTAAGGACGCGACACTTGAAATCACAAAATTAACTGGTTTGGAAAAGGCCTCTGAGATCATCGAGTCCAGCCTTTGACCCAACACCACCTTGTCTACCAGACCATGGCACCAAATGCCACATCCAGTCTCTTCTTAAACACCTCCGGGGACGGCGGCTCCACCACCTCCCTGGGCAGCCCATTCCGCATTCCAATGCCCAATCACTCTCTCTGTAAAGAAGTTCTTCCTAACGTCCAACCTAAACCTTCCCTGGTGTAGCTTAACACTGTGCTCTCGTCCTGCTGCAGGTTGCCAGGGAGAAAAGCCCGACCCGCATGTGGCTACAGCCTCCTTTCAGGGAGTTGTAGAGTGATGAGGTCTCCCCTGAGCCTGCTTTTCTCCAGGCTGAACAACCCCAGCTCCCTCAGCCCCTCCTCACAGGACTTGTGCTCCAGACCTTTCACCAGCCTTGTCACCCTTCTTTGGAAACTCTCCAGCACCTGAATGTTTGGATTTTAACCAAAAGGTGCGACTGAAAAGGGTGAAGTGAGCATGGTGCCTGCAGCTGTAACCCTGTGGCTGTCAATAATGGGATTTAAGTGTGTTTCTGGTATAAAAAACACCTTAGGGATGTGTTGACTGCTTCGAGGGGAAAGAAAGATGACATGAAGCCTTTTGGCAGCCAAATAGTTCCACATAAACCAAAATAATTCTGTGTTGGCACTGCTTCAGCAACACATTTACGCTCCTACCTGGTCCTGTAGATAGTGGTCATTCCTGTCACCTTTAATACAGGTGAAGTTATGTGTGAGCCTCAAAACTCCGTTGCTAAGCAAGGCCCTGTGCAGCTGAATGGCAAGATGTGGGGAATCACAGAATATGCCGAGTTGGAAGGGACCCACAAAGATCATCAAGTCCAACTCAGCCCTGCATGAGACCATTCCCAAGAGTCACACCATGTGCCTGAGAGCATAGTCCAATCGCTTCTTGAACTCTGTCAGGGTTGGCACTGTGACCACTTCCCTGAGGAGCCTGTTCCAACCACCCTCTGGGTGAAGGACCTCTTTCTAATAACCAACCTAAACGTCCCCTGACACAACTTCAGGACATTCCTTCGGGTCCTGTCACTGGTCACCACAGGGAAGAGATCAGTATCTGCCCCTCTTCTCCTCCTGAGGAAGTTGTAACTGCAATGAAGTCTCCCCTTAGCCTCCTCTTCTCCGGGCTGAACAGACCAAGTGCCCTCAGCTGCTCCTCACACAGCTTCCCCTCAAAGCCCTTCACCATTTTCGTTGCCCTCCTTTGGCTTAATATATTGCAGTGCCCAACACTGCCCCAATATTCCAGATGGAGAGCAGAGTGGGACAATCCCTTCCCTTGCCCAGCTGGCAATGCTTTGCCTGATGCTCCCCAGGACACAGTTGGCCCTCCTGGCTGCCAGTCCACTTCTGACTCATATTCAACTTGCCATTAACCAAGCTGTGCCTTCCCCTGTACTGCTGCCACCTGGGCTGTTACTGCTCATCTGTGAAGTGCCACAGTGGTTAAGAACAGCTCGCAGCCTAAAGGATCTGTGATACTGGGGGGCCGTGTGACCCCCACCTCGGAACAACTGGTGGCATCAAGACCTTCCTGTAGCAGAAATGGTGTCAGTGTCCCTGTTGCTTGTTTGCCTTGTTTCCACAGCACTGATGTCTTTTCAGTGCTGGCTAATTTCCACAACACTTAAGCCAATGATTTTTAAATGGTCTCTTGTGCTACATATGAGAAATGGATTTTTTATAGGACCCTTTCAGAAAGCAATGGTTTTTTACAAGCTCTGCTAGAGACTATCGCTTGCAGGCACTAGCAAAGCATAGAAACTGATAATCAAGTAGATCACTTGAAACAAAATACCCCAGCAACAGCAATAAAGGCATCCAATTCTCAAAAAATATTAGACCAAAATGAGTGCCCTTTGTTTGATATAAACAGAAATAATTACAATCTGCTCTCCTGTGTGACCTACAGCAGGAGTGTATTGTCACTTGCAGAATAGAAATGATGACCTCAATCCAAACAGCCTAATGCAAATATCTTAGCCTAGATAGCTAGTTCTAAACCAAACCAATTGTCATAGAGGCTGAAAAATATTATATTTTAGCTTAAGTTTTCCCCGTATAATCCCTGTTCTACCAACTGCCCTTTTGAAATGGGCAGAATTAAGTAGGATTTTATTTCTTCTCCAGACATGTTTCATTTTGATCACTGGATATTGTAGTTTTGGGTGTGTCTACTGAGGATTTCATGCATAAAATTAATGCGATGATCCTTAATAAAAGGAGACACTTTTTTGTTTTTGAAGCTCTAGTCTGCTATTTCATGGGTGACATTTTTCATTAAAAGACCAAACTTAATATTAAACTTTTAATTACAGACTCAAGTCATCCATACAGTTAATCATGTACAAAATCTAAGCATATATATAAGTTCTGTTGAAGGCACAGGCCTGCTGTAATGCTGTGAGCAGTGTATTTCACAAATTGCAGTTTTGCTGAGATGCTCTCATCAGCATATTCTACATAGAAAAACACTTGCAGGGAATGGCTAAATCAGAATGGCACATAATTATCTAAATAATATACATATACATGATGGTTGTGCTTTGTTTCTTTTTTCATTATGTGTCTTTACACCTTATATGGGTTACAGCATCAAGAAGGAGGTCATGATCCAACATCCTAAGCTTTCTCATAGATGTTGTACCAAAATTCAAACTGCATGTAAAAAAAACAAAGTGACAGATGATTTTTTTTTAGGGAATAAAGACACTCAAAAATTAATACTGTCATGGAGTAGAACTTTCAACACCCCATAAATGAATCACATAGCACATACCTACAGAGTAAGTGCCCAAATACTTGAAAGGTCGAGCTCCAAGTGCTGTCAAGACTGAGAACTTGATAATCCACTCTTACAATCTTTCTGCTCACTTCAAGGCTCTCTGGGAAATTAATGTGTTGTTTTTGTATGAAAACGATCTTGTAATCAACATCTCTGAAGTCTACTGTAGTGTAATAAAGCCTCAAAGGGTTTGCTTTTTTTTTCTGTGGATTTCATTATGTTAAATAACGTGCTGTTAGATGAAGTCATCTTCTGAATTTTAAACTAAGAGTTGTTCCTCTTAGCCTATCAAAAATTAATGTATTTTTGTAGAATGGATCTTCCTGACTGAACAAAGCAATATGTGCTAAAACTAGCAAAGTCTTGCTTGCCTTGAAACAATGGAAAATGCCAGTTCTTTTTATAACTGTTTAGCCTTGATAACTCATGCTGTTCTGTCACAGGACTTTGTATTTGATGTTTTACATGAATTCCCAGCTTCTGGACTCATGTGTTTTCATTATACTCAACTTTCATTTGAAAATTAATTTCTAGCCCTTGTTATTACAGACACTTATTGGGAAAAGAAGTAAGTCTGCTCTACAGGATAACCAACCTGTGCCAAGAAGCAAAAGGAAAACATTATTCAAGTTTTATTTGTTTAAAATCTTTTATCTTTTGCAATTTTCTGTTTCTTTAAGACTAGGTTCATTGCTCTATCTCAGTAGAGCTTGACAGCTGTGACATTTTTAATGAAAAGTCAGCATGTGTCTATCTCAGTAGCAGGAGAAAAGGAGAACTACATTTTTTTTTGTGCATTTCTATATCTTTAAACAGGAGGAATCCTTTTTCTTCAGTGTTAATATCTACCTTGAGAAATCAACTAAGGAACTAACATCACTTGTAATCTGGGCCTGTCTGATTGAGGGAATATTTGTCTGTAAACGAATAAGCAAAGAAACCTCCATAGATGGTTATGAATGCTCCTGGGGATTTTTAGTAATAAAGTAATATATCAGAAAATATTTTAGTGAAAATTTGTCTTCAAAACTCTGATTTTTTTCTTAGCTTGCTGAAGCTGCTCAGTGCTTTCCTGTCAGCCAATTTTCCTCTCCCCCCATTCTTTTCTCAGTGTCTCAGTTACAGTGTAACCGAAAGCCCGGTTTGTTTGTACAATGAAACCTGAATTCCCCAGATAATTTATTCTCAGAAATGGTGATGTCTGGCACAGCTAGGAAGAACAAGACTTTTTGTTCTGGTTGCAGCAGGTACAAAGGGCATGCGTGGCAGCCTTGTTATTGATTACACATAAAGGGAAGCTGTGTTTCCGTGGGCACAAGAGGCTGTTGTAAGACCACCAGGGGCCATCTGAGCAACTAATGACCGCCAAGTATTTGCTCAGTCATTCGTTGCCCTGAGAGATAGGTAAGCAGAGATCCTTTTCAACCAATCTGCAGAAATATTAGGGGTTGTGCTCTTTCTCTAGGACCTCCTGTGCTCAGAAGATCAGTTCTCATCATGGGATTTTATTCCTTTAGCTGGAAAGGTTATTGCCTGGATGAAGCTCACTTAAATAACAAGAAAGACGGAGATACAACAGCTGCTATTGACAAATGCCTCTGAAGCCCGTGCAGCTATTCTGTCAGATCTCTGCTTTACCTTTGCTGTTATATTGTACAGTATCACTGAGCTTCAGTGTCTTTCACACACCTCCATATGGTATTGTAAAGTGAAGTC